AAAAAAAAAAAAAAAAAAAAAAAAAAAAAAAAAAAAAAAAAAAAAAAAAAAAAAAAAACGAAGAAAGGATTTACACGCACGTGTAAACACACGGCGAAAAAAAAAGAAAAAAAAAAGCCAACGCGATTGTTTTGACTCCCGAGAAAGATTTACGAGGCTCTGGGTGTCGGTGTCTCTTTGCACTTGGCTGTCATTGTTTTAAGATATCGCCCGCGAGTTATATATCGTAGGGGCGACGCGACGGAGCTTTTGCCCCGCCCGTTGTTATTGCACTTTTCTCTCGGCCAACAGCTGCGTTTGTAACAGCTTTCGATTGTACACACACGTACTATAATAACATTTGTGTATTGCCATATCGCCTCGAGCGATAAAGATATGATGCGTTTCGCATATGTTTATGGACGATCTTGGTGTGCGCGTGTAATGTGCAATCGGTGATCGTTTGAATATTAATGCGCGCCTCTCGCCTCGGGAATAAGCAGCGCTCTTTAATTTTTTTTTTTTTTTTTTTATTCGGAGGTATCAATTTTTTCTTTTTTAATGAGAAAATGTACCTGCGCTTGGTTTTCTAAGCGAGCACGTATAAGTACGGGTATAGGGATGAGCACACGTGTTGCGAAAAATTTGTCTTGCGACACGTAGTCGCATCAGAAGAAAAAAAAAAATAAAAAAATTGCAGTCTTCGACGAGAGTATAGCTTTCGATGGGTTGAATTTTTTTGTTTGATTGATATTGAGTTGGTTGTCCAGTAAGTAGAACTGGATATGATTGGCTCTTCGAACACTTTGTGATGCAATGTTTCTTTTTTTTAACGATAATGCGTCATTTTCTCTTCGTTGTCACTAATGATACGTAACGTACTAATGTATTTTGAAAGAGAATAAAAAAATATTTTTAAGGATTTTTTTGAAACCTTTGTAGTAAAATTTATTCTCGAAACATACATCACACTATGTTTTACCTGCAAGTATATAATATATCTATGCCATGTATTCCGTATCAATTATCTCAATGATGAAAGCGTAACACGTGTGTTTTACGTGAGTAATATTATTTTTTGTCCAAACCATCGATTAAGTGATCCGTACGGTGTATCATTGATTTTATTTGACTACTCGGAATTATGTGTGGTACCACGTACTGATGGAAAATTTTTTGTTTACCCGGTACAATAACGTTATTTTTTTATATAAACATGCTTTAAATATTAAATTCTAATTTTACGTGTCAAGAGGTTTTTCTTCCTCATTTGGAAAACAAAAGATATTTTTGATCGGTAAAAATTGTAAAAAGGAAGACAAAAAACAACAACGGAACGATTTCGCAAAATTCGATGACTAAGTACGCGTCCTTTGAGCTTTCCAGAAAACAAAAAAAAAACAAAAAAACTCCATTCCATTAACGAGTTCAACATTGTATGCAGTAAATACAAGCCGAAGGAGCGCAAATGCAATTAAGCAAGAGGGTGTGTTGTGCATAGCTGCGAAGCCAAGCTATAATCATTTAAAAAATAAGAAGCCGTCCAGTTGTCGATGGCTCATCGCTGTACGATGATGCAACCCAAGATATGACTTACGGTAAAAAACGAAGGAAGAAAAAAAAAATTCCAACGAAACGGGCGCTAAACGCCGATTCACTTCGTACGGCTAACCAACCGAGCGCGTCATAGTGCCGATTTTTCATGATCCCACGCGCTAAATGCGACGATTATTATGTTGTCGTTCAAGTAATTGGACCGTTGTGTATTGTTACCGAATTAACGCTTTTTCACGCCTCTGCGCGGATGAAGTCACCGTTGCGCTACCCCCGTCACAGTATCCCATGCAATACAAACACGCGATCGGTTGCTCGTTTTGACGAAAAAAAAAAAAAGTCCACGTTGATCAAGACAGCGACATGAGATAGGGCCATGTGTCGTTGGCTCAACACAATTGAATAAGCTATACTTTTCAAAGGATGAGAAAAGCAAGCTTTTTTTTTTTCTTTACATTTCCAATCGGCTGTACACTTGTCACAATATATTTTATATGGCACAATATTGAACGGTATATTTATGTACACGTTGAAAGAAAATGTTTCGCTATCACCAAGGGTTTTTATTATTTTTACATAATTAATTAATATGGTGTGATTTATTAGAAAATCAATCCGCCCGGATTATCCTTTAGCGTTTCCAAACACACGCTTTTTTGCCCAAAAAAAAAAAAAAAAAAAAAAAAAAAAAAAAAAAAGAAAAAAAACGTACACGGAAATCAAATGAGGAAAGGTATCTTTTGCATATCCAAAGGTAAATATTTTTCCCCCAGCGACGAGGCGTCGTAAAATCTTTGTGGATCCAACACCTATACACCGTCTCTTTTTTGTCGAACAGCAAACAAAGAATCAACGAGAGGGAAAAAAAAGGGGGTGGATCAATCACTCCAAAATCATAAAAACTCTCCGTATTTTTTTTCTTCTTCTTTCATTTCACAAGCACACGAATCTTACCGTCAGCCTCGAGTTTTTCATCTCGAACCTGTGAGGAAAACAAAAAAAATCACTGGACAACGAAAAATCGGTACGCGCGCACGGGGTGTAAGCACAAGCTATACCCAATGATCGGGACAACCGGTCACTCTCTGAAGCCGCGCCGGTCAGCGGGGACTCTTATATACACACTCCCGGTCCAGCCTAGTGCCCACCTGTACACTGTACACGCACAGCAACGGAGCTCAATGGACCCCCGTGTATGTAACGTACATATACACGCGCTCGATTTGCATACCGATCGTAAGAGTTTCTCTCTCGCGTGCAAAATAAAAAAAGGGGGGGGAGGGAAAAGGAAGTTACGGCGGATGCGACGGTCGGTGGAAAAACCGGAATGCGCTTCCGTTTGACGCCCCCCCTTTTTTTCTTTCTCTCCCTGTACCGATGGTATGCTGATTATGTGCACCTTGCCTTGGGTGTTTATTATTTATGGACACCCCCTTGATATTCTTGGATCCTGCATGTATATAGGGTGATGGTGCAATTGCATCATTGCCGACGAGCGAAAGATCGGGTGAAAAGAAAGAAAAAAAAAAAAAAAAAAAAAAAAAAAAAAAAAAAAAAAAAAAAAAA